TCGTCAGCCTTTTGGTTTGCTGAAATATTCACACTTTAACAGACCTGCAGTTACCAAGTGACACATTTGGGGTTTATTTTTGAATTGGCTGCTTTTCTACACTTGATAGCTGAGCTATGTGTGTGTCTGACTTTCAGCAGTTCACATTTAAATATCCAGTTTATCGGTTTAATCCTCCAAATGTTTTGGGATTATTAATTTACATAATGGCCACGTTTGAACCACAGAGTTGAAGCTGCACTCATCTATGGCATGGTGTGAATATTAGGCTTTTGGCTTTTTTCTCATTAAGCAGCGGAAACAGAATGAATTATTAATGGAACAAAGTCACGGCTTTTGATCTGAGAGAGAAGAAAATGCTTTGTGAACCTGAATATAACTGATTACGAAGCAGAAGTTCTGTGTTGGAACTAATAATAACGATGTATTTAACAGACTTGTGGTACTTTTATTGGTTGTAACTGTGTTTTTGTCTGCAGGGCTCATCTTTGTGGTGGACAGCAACGACAGGGAGAGAGTGAACGAGGCGAGGGAGGAGTTGTCCAGAATGCTCGCTGAGGACGAACTTAGAGACGCCGTGCTGCTTGTTTTTGCAAATAAACAGGTGAGGTCACGTTTCTGTTCCTTGAGAATCTGTGTGGTCTTACGTTGCTACAGATCTTGATCATGTTCTGCATCATGACGGACTGTTTATTCTTCTCCCAGGATCTCCCCAACGCTATGAATGCTGCAGAGATCACAGACAAGCTGGGCTTGCACGCCCTCCGTCAGCGCAGCTGGTACATCCAGGCCACCTGCGCCACCAGCGGGGACGGCCTGTACGAGGGCCTGGACTGGCTCTCCAACCAGCTGAAGAACCAGAAATGATCCATTCCACCAGTTTTGGTTTTTGTTTGTTGTTTATTTTTTTCTGTTTCAACACAGTGGCAGCACCGGATCCAGGCCCCTTCGCTCCCATCTCACCCAGTTTTCAACCCCCAGCTCTTTCTTTCAAGAACTTCCTTCATTCCCTTCCTTCTGCTTTCTCCCCTCCTCCCTCGTCAGTACTCTCGGGGCTCTAGCCTGTGCTGCGCGTGTGTGTGTGCGTGTGTGTGAGTGTGGGCGTGTGTGCGGGCGTGTACCTTGTGTGTTCAGCGAGTGTGTGCGGGCGTGTACCTTGTGTGTTCAGCGAGTGTGTGCGGGTGTGAAGGCGTCTCTGTGTGTTGGCTGGGATGGGGAGTAACCCTGGCGTGCCTTTTACACACCTCCTGTGGAATCAGCAGTCTGGATTTCAAGCCCCTTTCTCCATCCACCAAACTCAGCCTCTGCCCCACTCAGCCTACCCCCACTCCAAGTCTTGCACGGCCCCCCTTCTCCCCTCACCCCCACCCTTACTCTCCAGAGGAAGCATGGTTTTCATACGGCAAAGAAAGAGCAAGGGTGCAAGCTCTCCTCCCCCCTCCCTGTAGTATATATCTATGTTAACTAGAAATGTTCACATGGTGTAGACTGAATGCTAAATGTTCATTTTAACCTCTATATTTTTTTTTTTTTTGAAACCTCAAACCCACCAGTAAGAGATTCAGTAAATTGCATCTTAACCTGTATCAGGTCGAAGCAAATCAAAAATAGAAAAAGGAAGAAAAAAAGAACACATACAACGCCCATCCTCGATCATTCTGGTGTCATTTGAAAATCATGCTGTTTGTTTTATTATTATTATTATTATTATTGGAATATAACATATTATTCATCGCAATGGTTCTCCATTGAACACTACCTTTCTGCCCCCCCACTACGCGAGACCGTGAAGCACAAGGCAAGCCAACAATCTTAAGAAGTAAATCTTAGAATCTGCGAGTACATTTCAATTGTCTTTTTTTCAAATTGTTCCTCAGCTGGCGTTTAATTCCCCGGATTATTTTTGAGAGTTGACCTTCAGTCCAATTAATTATTTGGATAGTGTTCCTACTTTTTAATGTAGGTTTAAAAAAAAACAAGGTGTTTCGTCAGCCGGTTAACTGAGACAGGTGTCCTGATACATTCACAAGCTTCACATGTTATTCCTTTAAGAGATGTTACATGTGTTAATTTTTTTTTTTTCTCTGTAACTAGTTTTAGCATTTCTATTTGTACTTTGACTGCTGAACCAAATGCATCTGAGCAGTATGACAAATCCTGTAAGTGAAAGTTGTGCATCCTCGAGGGCCTGAACTGCATATGATTTAGACTGAAGAGGTTTTTTCATCAACGGTTGGCAGTTTTATTTTGAGATCTGAAAGCATCCGGCTGTCTAATTTTTCCTTGTTGGGATGAAGGATTGGCACCAAATATGAAGGCTCTTTAACTGTGAACGGTCCAGACATGAAGAAAGGAAACCATAGTTCGAGTGTCTGGGTGTTTACAGGCTACTACACATTATAGCGCCGCATACTTCATGACTGAAAAGACCAACACGACAAGCACTCTGTCAGTAGCTCGTCCGTGAGCTGGAAGGACTTGGTGGTAGGCCTGTTAATGGGGAATGGGTGTGCAGTTAACTGGTCGTGAGATTCAGCAGGCGTCCTCAGTGTCGAACCATGGGGGTTAAGCTGGCACTTCTGTCAAGAATGATTGTAAATCTGTAAGTTCCCCTGTAAACTGTTTCCGTGGGGATTTCCTGAACACATTAATAAACATGATTTGATCCAACAGGTTGTCTTTTTAAAGACTTTTCTTTAGCTGCACATGTGTGAATGTTTCAGCGCTGCTTTCTGCTCAGAATTTGTCCAATACTTTTTGTTAATGATCAGATAACAGCTTCACCTGTGGAGCTGCAGCTGATTGTCATTGATTATTCAGTTAATCGTCTGATCTATAAAAAGGTGACAAATGTCTGGCAGTCTTTCCTAAAGCTAAGATTTAAATTGCTTATTTTTTGTGGACCACGAGTCCAAAGATATTCAGTTTACTGTGCTAGAAAACACTGAAGCAGAAAATAAAACATACTTTAGTTCTGAAACGAGTAATGTAATTATTAATATACTTTCTTTTGATCGACTAATCCCTCTTCTCAGCTGTACTCTGGTTTAGGAACAAATTAGCAACTATTAGCACGCTCACAGGCTAAACATTCACAGAGCTGCTACATCTTGTTTTTTTTTTTTTTTTTTTTTTTTTTTTTTTTTTTTCCATAGCAATTAATCAGAAACAACATTAATAGGTTTTTTTGATTTTTTTTTTTCAAAGTCTTCAGAGACAAATAAGCCTCTGATGACGTCACTCTAGGCTGTGTAATTACAAACACTTTGTTAGAAGTAAAAGTACTGCATTCAACCATTTTTCTTAAATATAACTTCCAAAGCTGTAGCATCAAAACATACCACAACATAAACCTACAACATAAAGTACCAAAAGTAAAAAAGTAGCTTCTGAATCTGCTGAGGAGCTAGTAAGGAGTAATTGTACAATATAGACAGAAGTATAGAGACAGAAGTAGCAGAAAATGGAACTACTTGAGTGCAGTAGATGAGTAGTGTTTACTCTTTCATAATAAATTGAATATCTTTGGGTTTTAAGCCAGTTTAGGAGCAACAGTGAGATTGTTAGTATTGTAAAAGTACACATTGAAAATGGAAAAGAAATAAAAAGGCCTGTTAATTTAATTTAGCAAATTGTGACATCTGTGACAGCGAGAGTTCAGCGTCTCCTGACAGATTCCTGTTGGACACTAAAATATTGCCTCTAGGTTATAAAAAGAATTGTTTTCATGAACTAATCGCCTTAGTAAAAATGTTTGCACTTGGATACCTGCTGTGATGTGTCTCATTTTTTTGCTACCAGAGGTTCACGGCTCTGTAAATATTTAACTCTGATTGAACTTCTAGTTAAACTTTACTCAGATCAGAGTAAAGAAAATAAGTTGGTCACCAGTTTCACTCAACTTAATCAGATTCAACCACTGGGTGGAGACAGGTAGCTGCCCTAACAGGTACAGGTGTACTTTTGCAACCATTGAATTAAATGCTGAACTTAATTTATTCCTGATTAAAGCATAACTCTAAACTAATTTAAAAAAAAAAAAGGTTTATTCCTTTAGAATAAAATGTAAATGAGCCAGTTAGCTGTTCTCCTTGGCCATGTTAAAAATAGAGTAAACAACATATCTTACAACATAATAAACATGCAGAAAACATGGCCCCAGCTAAGGATTAATTTTGTTGTTGATTAGTCTACGTATTAGTTTCTGCATTAATCGATTCATGGTAATAAAATGTCAGAAAACAGAAAAAATGCAACTGCCACAATTTCCTAAAACTCAAGGTGATGCCTTCAAATGTGTTAATGTCTTTTAAACTCCCCCAGAAAATAAGCTGATATAATTAAAAATTGAGAAAAGCTGTAAATTCTCTGGAAAGAGGAACAATGACAGGAATGTTGACCTAAATATATAAATATATAATATAATTTTCTGTCAATCGATTAGTGGTGGAAAGTAATTGTTACATTTACTTACTCCACTACATTTCAGAGGAAAATATTGTATTGTCCTTCAATACTAATCTGAGGGAAATAGTTAATAGTTACTTTGTAGATTTTACATTAAAAACACGATAAGCTTATAAAATACGATATAAAACCACTAACATAAAAGCAGGTATTGTTTAAAGAGTTGCCTGCAGTTCCGTCAGAGTGATTTTCCCCTCTAAATTTCTGACATGGTTTGATTTAAACACCTGGTAATGGTAAAATTATCCAAAATAAATACAAAATGTGGATATAAATATGTGTAACCCTCACATTTATCTTGTGACATTTCTGAGGGTCCCAACCCTTATTATTCTATTCCTCCTCATCAAATAATTCTTTTCATTTTAATAACAATTCACACATTTTCTGTGTGTAAAGTCTGGATGAAGTAAAAAGCACAGTAACCCGGAAGGTGTGCTCACCTATTTGAACCCACTGCCCTTTAGCAGCCTCAGAGACGGAGGGGGCGGGGCTCACCGTGCACACCTGACGGACAGGCTCCGCCCCCTCGTTCTGCTCAGATAATGTCCCTGGCACTGTGCGGTGGCACGGCATCCTGTTTTGTTTGCCACACATACGAACAAAACACAAAGTTTAGCATCTCACTTGGGATTAACGCGATGGCCGAGTGCTGAAACCTGCCGACTCACAAGACAAAGTTTACAGGTACTTGTTTTGGCCTGGAGATGCTAACTAGCTAATCCAAACAGGTGCAGGCTGGTTTTAACCTCGAATATAAAGTTTATGTGAAGAGATTAAGTTAGCCGAAGTTAGCCGATTTTGTTATACTCCTAGTGTAAACTTATTAAAAGACTGTTTTTAGGGGACGGAGCTTTGGTGAGGATAGGAGAGTAAATTTCTTCAGTTTCATTATGAGGTTTTGGCGCTGTGCCTACACCTGTGTTAGCTTAGATTCTAAAAGCCTTAAATCTACCAGGAGTTGGTTTGTGCAGCTGGCCATCAGCACCTTTTGTTTATAGATATACATAGACAGTGTTTGTAGATATATTAGAAATAATATACACGAAACGTGCCAGAAGAATAACAGTAATCTAACATTCAACATGAGCTTTAAGGGTTGTATTTCTTTAACAGACTGTTATTTCATTAATCAATCACACATCATAACAAGTGTTTTCTGTTTAATACTACCGCTCAGGTGCCCTTTATACAGGTGGAAGCTTATCATTGGCCTACTTAATACTGCAGTGTGGTACTTGTACTAATATTTGACACTGCTTTAAACAAAAGATAATTATAATTCTTTGTTTTAGTAATACCCTAATCAGGCAGTTATGATGCATCAACTCTCAATCAACAATTTTACTAATTTATTAATCATTAAATAAAACAAAAGTACCAAATGTTCACCTGCCTTTACAGGATTTGCTGATTTTCTTTGTGTTATGTGAGAGTGAACTGAATATCTCTGTAACGGAAACTTTTTCTATTTAAACTATAAATCAGAGCAAGTGACTGAACATCACATCAGCTGAAAATATGGTTGCAATTAATCGATTGGTTGATAAACTGAGCAAATATTTTCCGTTTTCATCAGATTCATGAGCCACAATTTTATTAATCAACCAAATGTTTTAAATAATCTTTCAGGCATAAATAGTGAATAATTATCTTATTAATTATTATTAAAAAGTAAAAGGGATTGTGCCCTTTGTGTGTTTTTATATCATTGGAAACTGAATATTTTTGTGTTTCCTACTGGTGGTCAAATGAAACTTGAACTTGTGTGTATTTTTTCACTACTTTCTGACATTTTATAGAGTCATTAATGAGATGATTAATCAGAAACATAATCAACAGATGAATTATTGGGACAGGCAACTTTTTAGTGTTTGTCGGCTCTTCGCTTGATGAAACAGGTTGTGGGTTGGATTAGGCTGCTTTTTGTGCTCAAGTGCTCTGACGTTGGTCTCATGGCAGCTCATGCACACCTGTTAACAGACTTTAAATGGGATCCATATAGAGAGATTTTACTGCACGCAGGGTTTTTGTGTTTGAAAATCTCCATCTGCTGCCTCCTCTGCCTGATCCGTGTCTCTTTGTTAACCTACAGGCTGCAACCATAAAACAACAAACCTACTGTGAGGTTTTGTGTCAAATGTCAAATGTTTTTTTACAGGCTTGCTATGAAATTAGTTTCAGACATTCAAATTGTTTGTAGTAACTTTGGTGATGGATTTTCTGCTAGCTTCATCATCAGGTCAAAATGTCATTTAATTTGTCTTAACAATCCCAAATACCTTCAAAACTAATGAAATTCATTTGATTATTTTCAAATCTTTAAAACCATCCAGTGTCTTAAAACTAAGCTAGTACATCTTTTATTAGGGAGAAATGTAGATTTTGGACCATTAGTGTTATTAAAAATAAGCCTCTAAAGACATTACTATAGGCTGTGTATTTAATGATTGTCTGAGCAGTTAATCAAAAACAAACCTGACAGATTAACTGATAGTACCACAGTCCTTTGTTTCACAATAGAGAGTAGAATTTATTTATTTATCTCCTAGAGAGACCAGCCCTGAATATTTTATTCCTCCTGATGTAATATTTTTAAATGTGCACATGAGGGGGAAAAAAAACATGTTTGTATTTAAAGCTGATATGTTTTGTATCTGATGGTGGTAAAATGATCTGAAGCCAGATATCGCATTGCTGCCGCCGTCATAATACACACACATACACACAAACTGAACAGGCTGTTTGTGATAACACCATTTACTTTCGTGATTAAATAACAATTACTGCACATTAACTGCATCAGCATACAAATGCTACAAGAACAACAACGCTGTTTAGTCATACTTTTGTTTCTTAAAATAGATTTTTGTGGCTCAGAGCCAAAGAAAACTACAAACCTGTAAATTTCCACACACACACACTACAAAACAACACCTGCAGCTGTGTCGTCTGAATATAAAGATTTCCACCAATACAAACACTCGTCTGCCTCACTCTATTTCCAAAAGCATTGACTGATGAAATCATGCCAAGTTCCGGCTTTCTTTGTACCATGTTGTAATATATTTAGTGCTCTTGACCAAGAAAATTATCTTAGTTTTTCTTCCTTTTTTTTGTCAGCCTTTATCTTTCTGCCTATAAAACCTCAAGAGTTAAGTTAGATTTGTCAACATGTGTCCAACAAGCAAAAGTAGTTTTATTTACTGGTGACGTGTCGCCATAATAGGCCTTAATTTGAGTGCCAACATTTTATATCTGAACTAAACTGGAGATATGGGAAATGCGCCAACTGCTATGTAGCAAGAGGGTTGTTTCAACATGACAGGTCTTACAAAGAAAAACAGATTCAAAAGAAAGCAGCATGAAGAATTGTATTAGTTCTTGGTGAAAGTCATATTGTGATGGTGTATTTTAAATACTACCATGTAGTTTAGTTAATAGGTTTTCTTTAATACATTTAAAGAACGTAATGCAAAAAAAATTAAACATCACATTACTTATATTGCATGTGATTACTTTTACGTATATTTTTAAAGTTATTCATATTGTGGTATTCGCATTGCCCCAGCTCCACTTCAGAAGCTTATTTTGACTAATAGTCCAAAAAACTCCAAAGTATTTGATCAATCTTGTTTTATAAACAAGAGACAAGTAGCAGGTCCTCCCATTTGAGTAGCAGGGACAATGTCAGTGACAGTGTTTGGTCCGCCACTTTGGTCCAGACTGAAATGTCTCAACAACTGTTGGATGGATTGTAATTATATTTTGTGCAGTTATTCATGTTCCCCAGAGGATGAATCCTTCTAACTTTGCTGATCATGTGACTTCCTGTCTAGCGCCTAATTTGCACTTTGCTTTATGACCAAAATACCTGAAAATCTGTCGCCCGTTACCATCAGCCTGAGCTGTACTGTGTGTTTAGTGATAAATGTCTAAACTATGTTGGTGAACATTATACCTGCCAAACATCAGCATGTTGGCATCATGTTGACCCTCAGAGTGGGCAGCGTGGTTAAGTATAATCTTGTGACTTTATACCAAGAGGGAAGCTTCCGGTGTGAGAAGCGAGGCCAACGCGGAAGTTCCTTAAACCTGCAGTCTATTTGAACAGCCAGCAGGGGGCGACTCTTCTGGTTGCAAAAAGAAGTCCGGTTCCTTTAGAGATAATGGTAAAATGTTTCTACTTCTCAGCTGATTTATTACCTCAGTAAACTCTTTCCTGATGAGTTTATGGTCTCAGTCGCTAGTTTCAAGTCTTCTTCAACACAGCATGATGTTCATTTAGTAAATTATGGTCCCATTTAGAGGAAAATAGACCAGGTATACTTCTATACTGAAGTATACTTCAGGGCGGGACTATCTGTGATTGACAAGTCGTTACCATGGCGACCTGTCAATCAAGTAGGGCTGGGCAATAAAGCAATAATGATAATTATCGCAATATAATTTTCCTACGATAACAATTTAATAAATGTTCATATATCAATAAATATTTGCTTTAATTCATTTGATTCACAAACAAATTAGCACCAAATTTTTGTGAAAAAGATTCCTCAGACTTGTGAAGTGATCCACTGTTTGGCATCAAGTGTTTGTCACATTCTGACCATAAAGAAAAGTTTAACCACATAATTACTCATCTGGTTTCTTCAATTTTCACTCAGGAGCAAAAATCAGCCTTTAAACCTGAAAGAAATAACGATTTGACATGTATCGTGATAATTATCGATATCAAATGATACGAAATGTTTTTATCGTGATAACATTTTTGGCCGTATCGCCCAGCCCTAGGCTAGAGTGACTCGTATCCTCGGCACTGTGTAAATTTAACCAGCGGTGTTGAAAAAAGAGTCGGCTGTTCACTTTCTCTGGTGAGTACATTTAGTTTTAAGACTGTTGTTCGCTAGACAAAATTTTCAGCCCTGTTAAAATGACAGTTAACATGAATTACAGATGCACCTAGCTAAGAAAGCTAGCTAGCTCCACAAATGGCAGTTAGCTCCACCGTCTCATCCAAATATGGTCACTTCCTGGTTGCAAAAACTCAACATGACGGCGCCCCATCGGCCAAACTCGAGACTTCAAAACGGCAGTCCACAAACCAACGGGTGACGTCACCATGACTACGTCCACTTCTTATATACAGTCTATGGTTTATACATGATTTGATTATATTTATTAAGGTTTTTTAAGACAACTTTCTACTCAGATCAATTATTGATTAATTGGCTAATTCTTAAAGCAGTAACCTCTGCTGCATTTTCTTGTTATCTAAAGTCCAGTTTATACTTCTGTTTCAAATCTACGCTGTAGCCTAACGTGCACCTCCACAAAAATATAACTGCATGTTGCAGCGATGCTGACTGCAAGAACTGTGATTGGTCGGCCTGGTGGCATCAAATTTCCTCCCACGTTCACAACCCAACGATATTCAGTTTACCGTCACAGAGGAGTAAAATATTCAACGTTAAAAAGCTGGGATGGGTGATTTTTAATGGATTAATTGATTATCAAAATATCAGTTTCAATGTTTCCCCACAGGATTTTAAAGTTAAATGTATTAATTTATTGCAAAATTAAGAGGCTGTCTATGAAGAACTTTGTACGCTTGTAAACAATGTTGCGCTCTAATAACTACTTAATCATAAACCCATTGTATCGCTATAAATGGTGATTAAACGGCAACAAAAGTCAACAAATTTATTTAATGTTTTGTAATGTCCCCTGTCAGCTCGCACTGGGCCGGTTCAGTGGATTTACCATAAAGGCGTTAATACGTGTGCACTCCAAATTTAGGCGCGGCTAGTTTAATCGCCTTCTCACAAACGAGTGACAGAAACAGACCGCTAACGTTACCGTAGTTACCTAAAAAGAAAAGTGGTTGTCTGAAGTCGGAGGCCAAAGTGTGTGAGCGTGCGAGGACACTCCTTCTGCGAAAGAGCAGCTCGGCTCTCAGCGAGTGTCCTCTGTTTGCATAAAAGTCACTAGTTTGCATGTGGATTTCACTAGAGAGCTGATGGCTCGCTCATCAGCAGCAGCAACAAGCACAGGAGCAGCCGGGTGGTTGGAGGCTAACAATCTGACTCCCTCCTCCCCCTCAGGTACCATGATGGAGGTGGCGGGTCCCTGGACAGAGGTATTCGAGGGCTCGGAGAGGAAGGAGATGTCTGAAGGCGCAGAGACGTTGTTGGGGAGCTCCACTCTGACTCTGGCTCCTCTGGTAGCCGATTCTCCGCCCCTGCACCGCTCCCAGCCCATCCTCATCACCTCAAACAGGTATATGACCAACAGGCGCAGGAACGTGGCACATAAACACAGACGGCATTACTCACTCGTTCATAATGGATGTACGTCAGTTCTTAAGGAGGTGGTGGATGTTGACTCAACCCCAGGCCTTAAGTCATCTGATGTTTAAAGAAGTGACTAGTTTCTGCTACGCTAGATACTCCCCGCCTTAAATACACAAGTAATAAATCGGGGATTTAGAGACACTGGGTAGAGTTTAGTTTCATTTCCTTGTTTCTTTACTTGTTTGTTCTGCCCTGAAGACAAAGAAAGCTTTTTTTTTTTTTTTTTCTTCATGCACAAGTGTCTTAAAATAACTGCAACTTAAAAAAAACACAATATTCTGACTACATTTATTATCAACGCCGTCACTTTGTGTTGAAAAGTGGTGGGGACATCTAAGGGCTCATATGAGGGGTGTGACAAAACACCTGAAACGTGAGTAAGCACAATATTGGAGTCTCGAGAACAAGACAACAAGGTTATCTAATGTTATTTAGAAGAAATATTCATTGATGAAATAGGTCATTTAATTGGAAGTCCTCCCCCAGAGGAGTTTGAGCATAACCTCTTGATTTCCTGCGTTCTAGAGACATTTTCTGCACCAATTTATGGTGGAAATTTATATGAAGGGAAACAAAATTAACAAAATTCATAAATGACAACTATGTTTATTATTAAATCTAGAAATCGTGAGCATGATCTGCCTACTAATTAAGCCTGGCTTGTTTTTCTGTCAGTATAATAAAATGCAGTTTTTAGCCAAGGCGAGGCTTGACTTGGCAACCGTGATTGTGAAAAACAGTTATAGCTTTATAGATATATCTTCCCTAAATCCCTTGAAAAGACCAAAACCAACAACGTGTTAGTCCTTCTCTCAGTATTTTCTGGCTCTGAGCTCCAAGCCCTGCTGAAAAACATAAAGCTTTCCAGCTGCAATAATCAATATTTTTAAACGAACAATGGATCAAATTTCTTTGCAACGTCACAGAATCCCACATGTGATTATCACCGGACTCAGCAGAACTGTTCCTCTCTGCTCTGCAGAGGAATTTAGCCTTATTCAGGCTAGATTATTATTGTTTTGGATTTATATCACCTAACTTTACTGTTTTGGTTCACTCTCACAGCTCCTAGGAGTTGGTGGAGACTAAAAACAGCCTAAAGTCTAAATTAATGCTAAATAGGTCATAGTTTGCTTATGTGTTAGCCATAACTAGGGCTGGGCAATAAAACAATAATTACTGCGGCATTATTTTCCTCAAAAACAATGAAATAAATGTTAAAAATATGTTTGATTTAGCACTTAATTTTTCTTGTTGTTATAAGGGTTGTTCTGGTTGAGGAAAAGGGACTGAAAAGCCATCTGGTTTCTTCAACTTTCACTCAGGAGCAAAAAACAGCCTTTAAACTCGAAAGAAATAAAGATATGAAATTTATTCTGATGGTAACATGTTTGGCCATATGGACCAGCCCTAAGCACAACAACTTTCAACAAAGTGCATAATTTGTCAAACATTTTTAGCTTGTTGTGAAGCTTCTCTGTTAGTTTTGTTCTTGTTGACGATAACAAAAAATATAAAATATTACCTTTTTATATTGTATGATAAGATAATTTGTCAGATTCTTAAATGATTTTCACTGGTTCTGACCTTTTAGTTTGTTTCTTTAACTTTTTCTTCCAGGGTGAAAGACGTAGAGTCGTTCTCCTCCTCTGTCCCATCCATACCCAACCCCTTTCCAGAGCTGTGCAGCCCCCCGAAGTCTCCAGTGCTCGTTAGTTCACTTCCACCGCGGTCAAGGGACAAACATGTAAGTTCAAAGCCTTGTTAGTGAGCAGCTGCCTCTGAAATGGTTTGATTATATATACAGACGCAGACGGTTTCTTGTAGCTGTAAAATTTGTCCTTTGGTTTTAACCCATTAAGACCTATGGCGCCCTCTAAAAAAGCTTTTTAAAACGCGAAGCACTGTTTGAAAACAACCTCTTACAACCTGAGGGTTTTTCTGGAGAACTTTCTCAGCCTCTGTAGCAGATAGAAACATGAATAATAATAATAACCATTTGAGGGCTTATACCTTTTGGCTTTTATTGGAAATGAATTGCCTTTGCCCTTGTGTTCATACACATGTTTTTAAAATCAATAAACTAGGAAAGTTGTTGTTTGTATTAATCTTATTATTATTATTACCCCCCGCTGGTTTTTCAGCGGGTCACGTGTCTTGAAAACGATGACCTCTACTAAAACGGCCACATGTTGCCGCCGGCCTTAAAGGGTTAATATTTAAACTGAACTGATCTTACTTCATAACATTTTGATTTAATTTTCACATTACAGACCATTGATTTGGAAGCACTGAACCGGTCTGTGTGATGTTGGTTTGTTAAATAAAAAGCTCAGAGCTCCGAATTCAATTGGGTCCAGCGTTAGAGGATACATCAGGCAGTATTCTGTCCCATGGAAAGACCAAAACATGATCCCACTAACAGGAATTGTCTGCGTATAGATGTGTGATCATCCAATACTGAAAATAGTCCGCAGTGAAAGGACTCTTTCCTCCTGTTTGCGTAACATTTAATTAAAACTACACTAACGTGTTGTTTTAGGAAATTAAACTATTTGTGAACTGTTTATAAAAATAGTCATCGTCAGTAGGAACCAATGGGCTTGCGGCTGAGAGCCACAGACAGGAAGTGAGACAAACACATTGTTGGTTTTCGTCTTTTCATGGTATTTGCTGACAGTAAAAACACAATATGACACCAGCCTTATCCTGTTTGTTCAAATCACACCAGCTGTGTTAATCCCATCACACCTGTAGGGTCTGACAGGTGACATCAGCATGTGGATCCTTGTCCCGTGTCTTAACTTGTTTGCTAATAGGGCGGGTGTTATTGTGACTGACAGGAGAGCTGTGTTGCCATGCCAGCGCTGCCTTATTTTGACAAACAGCGCCAGAATAAACATGTCCGTAATTACAGCAACATGTCGCTGTGCCACACTCGCCCCCGGGTGTTTCACGTACAGTGGTGGAAGCGAACAGGCCATTGGTGTAGGCCTGCGGCAGATAAGTGACACTTCTATGGACTGTAGTTGTTCACACACTGTACTGTAGCTTTAAAATGATTGTGTCCTTGGGTTTCTACGCAGCATGGAAAAGTATGGAGTTTGATTTTAGTAATTTCCAGGTCTGGATAAGGATGGGGGGAAAGATTGTGTTTCAGGTTATTGCCCCAATTCTGTTCTATTTTTATATAAAATTCAGAATAAAAAGATGAAAATGTTTACCGCTGTGCGTGCCAGCGTGGGCCAGAGCGAGCTCGATGTCATTGAAAGGAAGTTCAGACGTATGGCGTGCGGCTGAACCCACACACTCCTTCGCAGAGCTGCCTCTGCGCCTGCGTGCAAACCGGTCTCCCCCAAACGCCTCATAATCACCAAATTCTGACATCTGTGACCAAATCAGTGTTAAAGAAAATGCAGCAATATCTTTGAATCGCATCACAAAAGCAGTTTTAATCACCCGCTGCAGAGCCCTCCGGTCCTGGGCCGTGCACATCCCACGCCAGTTGGAGATGTTTTCAGTCAAGATGCTTCCTATTGCTCCTCTGTAAAAGCTGACAAGAACGTGGTGTGGGAATTTGGCCTTCTTAGGCTTCCTCAAGAAATAATAGTCGTTTCTGAGCTTTGAATAGTCAGAATGTAACCTACATGTTAACAGCTGGATTTTAAAACCATTTATTTACTTAATAAACATCTAGCTATTTGAATTCCGATCTCAAATATGGTCTGAAAAATCTGCAGAGAAGTCTGGAAAAGTATGATTTTTTTTTTTTTTAACTATAGTATTAAGTTTTTGTTCATTCTGCATTCAGGTTAAAAACAAACAAAATAACATCATGGTTACAGTGCAGCATTGTCATATTTGGAAGCTATTATCAAAAAGGTTGAACATTGTGGTGGTGATGGCGCGTAGATAAGATGCTTGCCTGTGTGGGAGACCCGGGTTCGATTCCCACTGTGAGACACCAGAGCAAGACACTTAACCCCTTGTTGCTCCAGAGGCGTGCGACCTCTGACATGTATAGCAATTGTAAGTCGCTTTGGATAAAAGCGTTTGCTAAATGAATAAATGTGATGTTAATATAACATAAATCTGTTTTTTGGGTTTTCTACAGTATTCAGCCAATACATATATTATACCTCATCCATTTTTCCCAAAAACTTCTCTTTTCAGTTATAAATCTTTCTTACAATTCCCAGCCATCGTTCTATGGTGGCGGGTTCAGTCCTGTACCAGTTTCTTGTTATTGCCTTCTTCGTTGCTATCAGTAATATCTTGACTATATATCAATCAATTACTTTGCCAAGGTACATAATTTTGCCTTTTTTCGGTATTTCATAACCCTAAATATCTTTGATTGTGGCATTGTTATTCAAGAATGCGTATAATTTAGGGCAATCCCAGAAAATATGTGTAAGATTGGCTTCTGTATTTCCACACATTCACCAACCATGTTGTTGTGAGCCATTTTGCTTACTCTTTATTTTAGGTTATAATAGATGACCAATAGTGTGTCTACATACTTTGGTATTCCTTTGGTCTGGGGCTGTTTTCATGCTTTGATGCTACTTAGCTCCAATAACAGGAAATCTTTAAGCCCCTGATAACTTCACTTAACTAAATAAGAAACGATCAAAGCAGAAGCTCTGTCAGGACTGTGTGTGTGTGATTTGATTTAAAATAAATGACTAACTTGGGCTGCAACAAATTATGATTTTCATTATTGCTTAATCAGCTGATTATCTTCTCAGTTAGTCAGTTAATCGTTTTGCCTGTAAGATGTCAGAAAATTGTGAAAAACGTCAGTTTAAATTTTCCCACAGACCAAAGTGATCTATTTCGATAACTTGTTTATTTAGTCCGAGACCCAAAGATTTTCAGTTTATTATCATATAGATAAGGGAAAGATATTTTTGCTTCTAACATCTGGCCTTAAACTAAAAGAGTGGAGGCTGTTAAAGCAGCAGATTAATCCCCCTATCAGTCAGGTTTATTGCCAGGTACATTTTCACATACGAGGAATTTTCCTTGGTATAGTTTCGAGCTTACGGTACACATGAACATTAATATAAATATCTAAAAAGTAAGGAGATCCTAAAATGTAATGGTATACAAAGGGTTTGAGGTTCGGGTGTCCACATAGTTTTGGCCATGTAGCGTATCTCTATTAGATATTAATTCTTTACCATAATAACCTGTTAAATAGCAAACACATTTAATCAATTTTTCAGTCTCTTACCTCTTAATTTTCTCTTAAACTATACACCATAAAATCAACCTCTCTATTTCAGACTACCTGAACAGAATGAAGTGCGCTTGAGTATTGAATACCTCCTCTAATCTCCACTGTTGTTGCACGTTACCAGCTTCATGGCCCAAACGTGGAGACTGAATTTGTTCTGAGCAAAGAGACACATATTTTCCTGCGACTCACCTGGACCGGATCATGAACCGCAGGGTTTCCATTGAAGGAAGGTTCCTCCCCCATAAGCCTCCCTGGTTGATAATACGTTATTTGTCCTGTCTGACGGCGGCACTCGCCCAACCAGTCCCTGACTTGTTGATCGACAGTCGCAGGTTTCTGGTCGGGCAGGTTTGTTTTGTTTTTGGTTTGAAGCGTGCGGCTGGATCCAGACGCTGTGTCAGACGGCAGCTTGCTTGCAGAAACCTGAATAACCCTTGAATGACCCTTGAACAACCTGCAACGTAGTTCACCTCCACTGTCAGCCCACACGCTCGGCTGCTTCTCCAATCTGATCTTTTCCTCAGCGTAGAGGAGAATGTAGAAACATGGGAGCGGATCTGTGTTTTAGAGATTTCGTTCTCCACATGCAGAATGAAATGGGAAACATCTCTTTGAGTGTCACGGCCTGTTGAGAACAGGATGGCTGCGTCTGTCTTTGCAGCACCGTCGACAGATTCTTGGCTCCACATTTTGTTGATGCGTTGCCAAAACTATTTCTGAACAGTATGTTCTGTCAAACTCTTTTAAGGCCATGCATGTTCGAAAACATGTAAATACACTGTGCGTGCGTGCGACAACTGTATCTGTTTACAGGGCAGACAAACAAATAATAATTGTTTTAATAAATAAATAAAAACTCTCTTCATCAAGTTTATAGCACATTTGAACAACAAGGCAAAGTGCTTTACATTAAACATAAAAGCAACACAAGGAAATTGAAAAAGAAACACATTAAAATATGATTTTGAAAATGGTGAAATTAAAATAAATAAATAAATAAAACTGGGTAAAACAGGACAGTAAAAGTTTCAGTGCAGTGAACAATCAGGGTTCAAAGAGGTAACTCGAAAATAAAAACAGGCTGAGGGGTCGAGCAAATAATTGAGTTACAATTATTTTTTGTCTTTGAAAAGAGAATAAACCGAGAAGGATCTGCTCTCTAGTTGGTTTGGTTTTGTTTGAGGCTACACGCTTTATTTTTAAAGAGTTAAATAGAAAATTAAAACGGGTTAATGCTGCACAGTAAAAGTTACAGGGCATGTAAGCTAATAATCAAAAGTCTTAAATTTGATTTAATCAAAAGCAGTAGTTTTCCACACACCAGCAGGGCACCGTAAAGTTGGAGGTGTGCCGCCTACTTTTACTAGACATGTTTGATGAACGATCGCAGTCGTTGTTAGGCTGCGTTCCTGTAGCTTCTTCACAATAAGTGAAGAGCTTTAAATGCAAAGCAGCAGAATGTAAAGTGTTGGGTTTGCATTGGCAGTAACGTTAAAGTTAGACTGGGTTACAAGCTGCATTGTTTCCTGTGAATAACTTGAGAGTGAAGGCAACTTAAATATAACATATAAACCACAAAATGTGTGACAAATAAGTTTTGATTTCAAGTTTGACTTGATGAGTTTTAAATGCAGGACTTTTAACATTTTAACATTGTGTTTTTGCTACTTTTACAAAGAAATATTTCTTCCTCTTCTTTCGTGCTCCCATCAGATGTTAAAGGTGTACGGAGGGGACAGCCACAGCAGGTCGGTGTGGGTCTCACCTGGAGCTACAGCCAGAGAGGTGTGTCACATGTTGGTCCAGACGGCTCACTGCAGCGATCAGGAAAACTGGGCTCTCCTTGAGTTTCATCCCACCCTGGGTCTGGGTAAGACGGAACAGAAATGTAAAGGCTGAATGATATAAAATGTTTTTGTAAAATGTTTTCACACACGTGTTCTCTTGTCGTCGCAGAGAGATGTCTGGAGGACCACGAGGTTGTGCGGGAGGTTCAGGCGACCTGGTCTCTTAAAGGTGACACGAGGCTCGTTTTCTGCAAAAACTACGCCAAGTACGAGTTCTTCCGGAAACCAGTGGTACGCGTCCGGCAGTATGTTATCAACCTTTAACAATGCAAATAAAGCATAACAGAAGAAACATCCACCCTTTCTTTTTAAATACACCTCAAGCAGGGAAAAGGAGGATTTATTAAACATGTTGGTTTAGTAGACGTTGACAAGGGCTGACATCATGGCGGTTTGTGATCCCGAATGATTGGCAGGTTGCATGCTGGTGCAGACGCGTTGACTTAATGCTTCAGGTATTTCATTACATCAGATCTGGTCTGTCGCTTGGGGTGTTAAACAATGGTGACAGCCCTCTCGTGTTAAAGTGTACCCACACTGCCTCCAGAAGGCACACAAGTGAATTTAATCATGGATTTACTACATTTTACTCATAAAATTAGGCTTCCAACATGTGCAGTGTGAGCAATGCACACCTAAATTACAAAAAGTCACTATAATTTTCCTAATCAAAAAAGTAATCTGTCGTATTTATATATATTTATTGCAACAAGGTGATGTCTTAAGTTCGACCAACAGGTCCGAAGCCCAAAGATAGTCACTTCACAGTCTAACTAAGGAAGGAATCTTTGTCTCTATGTCTGTCCTTCGCTTTTCTTGTCAACTGTTCATCTGATCAACTTCCTATTTGTGTTGCTGAGGAAGTGTTGAGTGTGAAGTAGTTTGGACAAGTGGTTCTTGAGAAAGCTGAGAAACACCGCGCCCCGCAGAGGCCCCCGCAGAGGCCCCTGCAGAGGCCCCTGCAGAGGCCCCCGCAGAGGCCCCCGCAGAGGCCCCCGCAGAGGCCCCCACAGTTCCAGACACACAGATTGAGAGTTGGGCTGCATCCGAAAAGTCAAAAAAATCTCCTTTCCTAACCACCTTTTTCTTGACCTCGACGGAAAACGTCATGAGGTCAAGGAAAGATGTGAAGGAGAGTCCGTAAGGACTTAGGAAAAGAGGACGGCGGGTCTAAGAGAATCCGACTGCTCTTTTCTAAGCGACGTAATTATGCGACGGCGGATTTTACTGCCGTGACCCGCCATGATACTGTGAAACTACAATGTTCTGAATGACTCTGCGTCCCATGTTGTTGTAATGCAGGCCGTCTAAAGGTGACAACACGGTGGAATATATTACTTAATAACCAAGATAGCAAAAAGGCAGATAAGATACCTACCAGTCACTGAATAATGAACAGGGTTGTCACATTGAGAATGCTCACACTCGCCCTCCTGCCCACCCATAGGCCTATTTATTAACATGAATCCCAATTGTATGTAAATACAGTGTTTCAGAGAGAGAGAGAGAGAGAGAGAGAGCTCTGTCATCAAATACGATTTTACCCATAATAACAAATTCAATCAAAAATCAGCGTTGATAACGTGTCAGGCTGCCACAAATAAATCAGTGTGTGGGAAACGCCTACTGTAGAGGTTATCCAGCTGGATCTTTGCCTTTATTAAGGCGAGGGTGTCAGCATCTGTGACTGAAGTAAAATTAATTTGCAGTACATAACGTGAGGCTACCTTACATTGATGTTGATCAACCTCCTTTATCCGTCATGGTTGGTGATTTATGTTTTTTTTTTTTATTGTAGAAAACACTTAATGGCTTATTTTAACAACCCGAAACATAAAACAGTGTTGAAACAGTATTAGATTATAAAAAAGCCTAAAGAAAAGAAACAAAAGAAAGAAGGTAGATCGGTAAAGGAGATATGAAAGGAAGCATTGAGGCACCTTTCCTTTAGCTTTTAGAGAATTCGACCAGCTCTTATCATGGCTGCCACTGAAATACGTCCGGTTCACTTCACTCAGTTAGGAACCTTCCTGAGCAAAAAATACTTTTCGAACGCAGCCTCAGTCTACGTTCCACTCGCGCCCATTTTAATGTGCATATGCAAACAAAGAGTATCAAGATCTCTGTCTCCCTCTGAGTGCATTTCAAAACCTGTTGGTTTTGCATGGCTGATAGTTTACTTAAGACTTTGTCTGAACAATTACATTATTATTTTATCTTTTATTACATCTCAAACAAAGAAGCTGCATGATTCCTGTAAAGTGTATTTCGTCTGCATGTTCAAGACAATCGCGGTCCAAAGCAGAACGCTGATCAGCTGGAAGATGAAGTGACTGCAGCGTAGGCCGCAGCAGAAGCAGCTTCTTTGTCTTGTAAATGAGCGTTTTCTTCTCCCGAGGATTTTAATGACAACCACCTACTTCCTCTCTCAGCTCTTCTTCCCAGAGAGCATGATCTCCGACAGCGCCGATGTCGGCAAGGGGATGACATCATCAGAGCTCATTCAGGTAAACTGGCTTCTGGTGTTTCAACAAACAAGGTCTTCTTGCGATGATTACAATGCTGATCGTGTCGCACAGTCCATATGCAGTAAGCAAGTTTTATTTTTTATTTCGTGTAAAATAATGATCCCTTGTGTGTTCCTCAGAACCTGCTGAAGTCCGGGACGTGTCCGGAGATCCAGGGTTTCCTGCAGGTAAAAGAACCCAGTCGTAAAGCCTGGAAGAAGGTCTACTTTTTCCTGCGGCGCTCTGGACTCTACTGCTCCACCAAAGGCTTCTCCAAGGTCAGCAAGTGAAGTCAAACTTCAGTCTCCATTACTGTCACAGCATCTTCATTATAAAACAGAACCAAAGAAGAGACCAGCTAGACTTTAAACGGATAAATGACGATGACTTTGACAGATCTTTGTTTTTTTGGGGGGACTAGGAGCCTCGGCACCTGCAGTATGTGGCTGATCTGGAAGATCTGAACGTGTACACCGTGGTGAACAGCCGGAAACTGTACGGAGCACCTGCAGACTTCACCTTCTGTATCAAGGTAACCACTTCAAACCACACTCAAAGCAGACAGAAGGTTTTTGTATTTAGCATTCATGTCATTGTTGTGACTGTGGTATATTATTATATGGAGTCAGTTTTGTTCAATGGGACCTGGAATACTTCTGAGGTGACTCCAGCTTCTGCACCACTGACGGTGAACTTTCTATAACTTTGGGGAACATACAGTAATATCAAACACACCAGTGACTTACTGTGTAGTAGATTTATCTAAAGTAGAATTTCACTTGTCTGGAAATGCAGTTCCAGTTTATTAACCTATAAACAGTGTATACTGTACTAGGGCTGAAACGATCCATCGATTAATTCATCGATTTAATGCATCGGCGCAAATTCTTTGCACTGAGCCGTTTTTAAAAAAGAAAGTCTACATTTGTTACCTTCAGTAGGAGCTTGGGGCTGAGAGCCAATGAGAATGAACGGATGAACGCATTTACATTTACTCATTTGGCTTTTATCCAAAGCAACTTACATTTAAGAAACAACATAAAAGCATCAATACAGTAAGAGATCTACAAGTGACAGGACAGCAATAAATACTAGTAAGAGCTAATAGCATGTATGACATCAATGGGGTAAATACGTAGGGAAAGAAGTGAGAGTTAACAAAATAGTGCAATCAAAAACAGGATAATTGTAGGGGATAGAAGAAGATGAAGAGCAAAGGAAGTGCATGTTAGGGGTTAGAGGTGTTCTTAGAAGAGATGGAGCTTTTTCAGGAGCTTCTTGAAGTTAGAGAGGGCTGATCAAAAACCAGACGTGCTGCTGCGTTCTGAACCATTTGTAATGGTTTCACCGCACAAGCTGGAAGACCTACTAGAAGAGCATTGCAGTAGTCGAGGCGAGAGATGACCATGGCCTGTACCAGAAGCTGGGTGGCGTACTGAGTGAGGTAGAGCCTGATTTTCCTTATGCTGTATAGAGTAAAGCGGCACGACTGACAGACAGCAGCTACATGGTCTGAAAAGGACAGCTGGTCATCAGTCATGACTCACCACCCTGGTTGGAGTGATGGTTGATGAGATGTTGTGTAGTTTGATGTTATGGTGGATCGATTGCTCGGCTGGAATGACCAAGAGTTCACTGTTGGTTTTGGTCTTTTCATGGGATTTGTTGACAATAAGAAAATTCTAGAATATCACCTGCCTTTAATGTTGAAGGGAAAGTAAGTGATCGTAATCAAGCACAAATATTTCCTCACGGTTTGCTGATTCTCAGTTTTGTGTGGACTCCAGGCACTGGCTGAGAAAAGGTCTGAAGAGCACAAACGGAGAAGAAAGTTATATGACTAGGCGAGGGCGAAGGTTTTGTGGGCGGAGCTTTTGAGTTAGCACTGAAGGGAGGCGCATATTTGTTTGGCATTTGAGTTCAAATATCAAGAATCCTTCTGCAGAATCACATACTCTCCTATTTACCGTTCAGAAGTTCCACATCCGGATGGACTAACCATTTAATATAAATGCTGCAAGGTGTGGTAACCTCGTCGCTTTGTGTTTCCACAGCCTTCCAGAAATCCCGTCCGCGCTCAGGACCTGAAGATCCTGTGTGCTGAGAACGAACAGACACGAACGTGTTGGACGTCCGCTTTCAGACTGTTCAAGGTTGATAAAATAATCCTCTTCCTTCTTTCTAATACATTGTGAAATATCTAGCATACTAATATTTACTGATTTACTGGGGATTGGCAGCTGATTACATCATCCAAAATTGTATAAACAAACATTTTTGTAAACATAAATTTGTCTTGTCCGAGAATAGACGGTAAAATGTATGAATGATTTTATTTATTGTGTGTGTGTTTGTGTGTTGTCAGTATGGGAAGCAGCTTCAGTTTAACTACCAGTTATCCAAGTCGGCCCCACGAAGTCTGGAAGGAACCAAACTCACAGATGGCAAAGTGAGATCATCAGACATGTCACACGACGCAATGAAGAGGCGCCTGGGAAATCATTTTGCTGTGTCATCTCACATTTATGCTGTTATACATGCTGTTTGTTTAACTGTGTGTGTGCGCAGTCGGAGTCGGAGGCCAGCCTGGTGGCCATGGACTTCTCCGGGAAGGCCGGGGGACGGGTCATCCAGAACCCAACAGAGGCCCAGAGCGCCGAGAGGGAGGAGGGACAAGCCTGGAGGGTGAGGACGAGGGATGAATGGGGGGGGGGGGGGGCAGATGATCAAACAGGTTGTCTTAACTAGCGCTGAAACAATTAGTTGATGAATTAACTCATCGACAGAGAAAGTAATCATTTTGATAATCGGATTGATCCAGCTTCACTAATGTGAGGATTTCCTAAACCCTAAACTGAACATCTTTTTGGTTTTCAAACAGTTTGAACATGTCGCTTCAGGGAAATTGTGATCTGCATTTTTCACTATTTTCTGGCATTGTAGGCCAAATGGTAGATCTTTTAATCGAGAAAGTAATTTGCAGATTCATCCACAGTGAAAACAATCATAAGTTGCAGAGCTATACTAATCCTTTATTTTCCCACATAACTTCTAACCTGGAACTTTGTTTAAAAATTGGCTGGGTCGATATTATCATTTCATTTTAGCTTATCACAGACATATATATCGATATATACGCCGGCTGCAACGTAACAAGACATTGCAGTACAGAAGTGCCTAAAGAGAATGGATCAATAAAGGATAAATTAATACATTAATACACAAGATGAAGTAGCTACTGATGACATTTATTTAAATGTACATAATACGTTCCATAATACAGCATGTTTTACATATTTTAATATAGAGGTTACTTATCACAAATGTTTGTTTATGTTATGAGTTTGTTATAGTTGACATACTGCCATTGAAATTATTTAATTTCTTAAATATTAATATTGATATCTGCATCAAAAGTCCTTTTATAACCAAGTGATGGTCAAACCTACAAAAAACATTCATGTTAATGTAAAAAATTCTTCTAAAGGAGAGACCGTTGATGTAAAAAGCCTCCAGCACGTCTGAATTTGTGACCTTTTTCTGCTGTTTTTCATTCTCTAATCTTCACTGATGCAGAGGAGAGAAGCCCTGAGGTGCAGTCTGCCCAACTTGAACTCTGGCGCGAGACCTTCCTGTAAGTGCACATGAAGAGGAGACGGGTTCCAGGCCTTCTGTATATCTGAGATGAAACCACATGTGTTCCCGCTCACTTCCTCACGCTCCTGTCCTTTTGTGTTTGTTTGTAGCCATCCACAAGTCTCAGCCGTGGTTTCATGGTGGCGTGTCCAGAAAGGAAGCACAGAGGCTGATAGAAAAGCAGGGCCTGGTAGACGGGTGAGTGGACGCACTACAGTAAAGACACTTTTGCACTTTACAGCAGCTCAGTATCCTGAGGAATTGGATCCATGAGAGCTTCTGAACCTCAGGATTTACGTCCAGTTTTCTGTGGAAGTACAAGAAGTGTGACCTTTAAAAATTAAATAGGATAGTGGCGGTGAAGCATGCAGGAGATCAGAAACAGACCTGCAATTAAAGGGGATCAAAGTCTGTTTCCAGCTGAAGTTTTACTGCATGTGTGGAAACACACATGCTGAAAAGAATCTGTTGGTGTGGAGTTGCAAGAAGTTAGCTTACAGACCTTTTGTAGGCCGCTGCTCATCTCTGCTGCAGGCTCCAGGCTACATTAGCTGGTTACTAGCAAAACACGCCCACATCTCCGACTGAACGTGTTCTCTGGTTTTGCCGTCTGGTGATTTAGTTGATCCCAGATGAAAGTTGCCAATCGTGACAGAAACGTGGTGAAATCTTGCGTTGTCACACCAAATCAGTCGTCCTACTTCAGAACTGTGAGACATGTTCACCGACGTCCCGTTTAACACGCTGGAGTTAAATCCTCAGGACACACGGCTCCTCATATTTATTCACATTCCCGCTACTTATACCACTTGTTCTGTCTGAATGACAAGTGAGAGGCGAAAATTAGGATCAAATTCTCACAATGTGGATGCTGCTGCCACGTCTAATCAACTCCAATCAATCAAACCAAAAGAGAAGAAAAAAATATGACCACAGTGTTGATGAATAATGCAAGCTGATGACTAGCTTTTTTTATTTTGATTCGCTAGACATTCATCGTTCGATCTGACGCTCCACAACTGATATTGAACCCAGATGAGACAAGATTGTAACAGACCAACGTCACAGCGTGTAGGAGCCTGAAAAATACACATATTTAACAATAAAAACGCTGACCGGTGTGTTACAATATGTTTTCATGTGAGAATGTATGTTAAGAAAACTAATAACCGACTTGTTTATCTGCGTGGGCGTCTGTGTGTAGGATGTTTCTCATCCGTGAGAGCCAGCAGCATGCCCAGTGCTTTGTCCTCTCGTTGTGTTACCAGCTGAAGACCAAACACTACCTGGTAATCCCTGTGAGTTGCCTTTATTCTCTCAAAGACACTCGCTCTTTCAGGAGGGGGGGGGAAATACTTTACTGTGCATCCTAACTGTGACTGTCCTCGTCCTCGCAGTGCGAAGAAGGAGGCAGGAAGTACTTCACCATGGACGACGGCCTGACTCTCTTCATCGACCTCCTGCAGCTGGTGGACTTCCACCAAATCAACAAGGGCATCCTTCCTGTCTGCCTCAAGCACCCCTGCGTCTGTATAGCGCTATAAACCTTTTATTAATGCAGCCCCTCCTCTTGGTTCAGGATCATCCAGACCTTTAATTCAAGCCTAAAGTGTGGAGCCCTTAGTGTTAGTCATCAGATTGTATTGATATCTATTAATAACACGACTGGATTCTGTGCAAAGGTCTGTGTGATAATGTTATCAGGGTTGTGGTGGACTCGTGGGAAGTATGAGCCAGACTTGAAGCATATTGTCCGCCCCTCCTCCCTTTAGTATTTTTAATTATCAGGCTACACGTGCAGCCCCAGACAGTGGTTGTTTGTTTTTTTTATAATTAATGAGCTGCCGTCCCCGTGGAGCTGGCTTAATTAGCTGTGTTGGACAGACTTTTAACGCTTTTGAGAGCAGAGCATTTGTTACTGTGCACTTTGATTCGGATCCATGATCAGAGGTGGAGGGGCTGCAGGAGGGACGTTTGATTGTGGCTTCAGCAGAGTTCAGTGAAGAACTGATCATTTGTGGCCACCGGAGGGCGCTCTGAGTCAAAGCTCAAAAGAGGAATTCACAGCTGTGTAACATAAGAAATGAACACATGTATTTTGATATTAACATTGAAAACAATTGTGACACATATCATGACAGTATCCCAGTTTGCGATCATGTAGCATGTAAATTCTAACTCTTCTGACAGTTTGATGTTTTATTTGTGCCTAAAAACAAACTCTTATGTTAATTAGAACAAACTTTAAGTGCTCAAAGTGTAAATAATCTGCTATATTTGCACAATGATTGTGAAGGGGAGCTGCGTTGTCTTGTGATGTTTAAACAACCAAATATTTACCATAGACATACATTTTTTGAGGGTACGTGAAGTAGTAGTGTAAAGAATTTGTTATTAATCAAGACACTCTGGACGAAGACTGTACGATGTGGTTAAAGCTCTGGAAAAGCTAGTAAGTGGACTTAAAGTTAAGACTTTATGCTAACACTTTATTTTAAAGGTGATTTCAAACAAATTAAAGGCTAAATAGAGACTTTGCTAGTGTAACTTTGCAATTCAGCAGAACATATGTAATGAAGTCCAACCATAAATTAAGAATAAATCAACAGTTACTTGGGTTTTTTTAAGAATATTTTTAGTTATAGTTTTCAATAATTCATGTTTTTTTGTTGGTGGTTTTGTAAACACGTTTTCTGTTACTTTGAACATTTGCACTTATAGGATATAAATATATATCAAAATATTGCCATTATTCATTAACTCCAAGGTTTACCCACGTTTTAAAATCAAGTAGTGTTTGTTAGTTTTATATACTTTGAATGTTTTGTGCCCTTTTTCAGACCTGTTTTATATATGTTGAATAAATAATTTCATATTAAACGTAGATATTGTTTTGCATTTGAAATGTTATCTTTCTCCTGCGACCCGACCCCGGATAAGCGGATGAAGATGGATGGATGGATGTTATCTTTCCCCAATAATGTAGATAACCGAGACAAGAAACTTTAGAGTAAAAGCGGTGGTAGAAGAAGTATTTGGATTTTTTACTTAGTAGTAAAACCGCAGTCCTGTATTCAAAGGAAAATGTAAAGAAGTATCATCAGTAAAAGGTACTTTAAAGTATCAAAAGTGAAGAACTCATTAGGTAGCAGAATGGTCATTGTTATGTATTATAATTTAAATTATTACTGATATATTAACATTTTAGCAGCATTTTAATCTGGTTGAAGCGGACTGTACTCTATCGTACAGTATGTTACTGTTATTTTACAGCAGTAGACACTAGTTACAACACACAACCTTTTTTGTGTCTCCTCGTCACATTTCAAATGTAAACAAGTTGTTCGCAGCGCCACCAAAGAAACGTTTCTCTCTAACCGTCTCGCATGGTTTCATTTAAACCCACAGTATGTAATTTCTGCTGCTAGGGGACAAAAAAACAGACTTGATTGGCATTGGCATCATGGGATTTGTAGTTAAACTAGTAGTTAAAACTAGCTCACTGTAAATAAAGAAGTCAAAACTAGCTCCACCTCGAGCAGCTACAACAATAAAACGCTGCTTTAATACTGATGATTGATAACTAATTAAAGAACCAGTACTTTATCTTTTGATACTATAAGTACATTTTGTTATATTTTTAAGTAGGATTGTGAATGCAGGACATGAACTTGTAATGAGTATTTTGGATAATTGTACATTACAGGCTACTGATGTAAAGGACCTGAATACTTGGTCAAGGGCAACTGGACTTTGTTGAAGATACTAGAAGACCTTTCGCCTTCATCCAAGAGGCTTCTTCAGTTCTGAGTCTGTGTCTAACTTCTGTGGGGTCGTCATCGAGGTGATGGATTTCACTTGGCTTGTTAGTGCTCCTGGCTGTTGTAACGACACTCGTTATGGTCGTTAAGAGTCAAGTCATTTTCTGTAGCTGTGATGTGATGGCAAAAATCCTTAGGCTACAGGACGTCTTGGTCTGGTTGGGTAAGATCCCCCATCTGTCAGGTTCACCCCTCTGTTGTCAGTTTCATGCAGTGTGAAAGTATCTTTCTGTGGTTTTCTTAGTGTTGCTGGATCATGACTTTAGTCTTTCCCTGTTTGCATGCTGAAGTAGCTGTATTTCTTGATCAAATCGGTGACCTTTTCCAATATTGTACTGGTCAGATGTGCTTCCAGTTTGTGGAGTAAGCTGTCAAACTAGTATCCATTACCTCGATATCGACCCCACGGAGGTTAAATACCCGGGGCTCCCTGCCAGCCACTTAGAACTGAAGAAGCCTCTTGGATGAGGCGGCTTCAAGCATTTTAACCTGGATGACCTGAATACTTCTTCAGCTTCTCTGCTGTCAGAGATACATGGTGTAAAATATTTGCCTCTAAAATGTGGAGAAGTATGAAGCATCTTCAACCAAGTCCATTTAGCCTTTATTTGAACTTTCCTTGGATAACTATGACCTGGATGACTGAGAACCTTCACAGACTAGTATAGTAAGTAGCATATAATGGAAATACTCTAAACCTAAAACTGCACTTGAGTGCATTACTAGTAAACATTATTATGGTGGGAAAGTATCTGAACACAGGGTCTAGCTAAGAAAAGAAAGTGCTGCTCTGCCTGATTTAAAATGAGATGATTATAAAACCACTATCAGCCCAAAACGAGACAAAAAAAAAAGAAGAAAACCTGGACTGAGTCCTGACAAACCCATTGGTGGAGCAACATAAAAGGCAGCCTGGAGGTTATTGTGGAGCCCTGGCAGTGTGCACAGATCCTCTGCTCGGGGCTCGGGGCTCAGGGCTGTGGCTTCAGAAGCTAAAGAGCTGATTTCTCCACTGACCTACTCTCTATGTTAATGTGCTCGGGTCGTCTCAGCTGCCTCTGTGGAGGGGTTGCTGTGGTAAAAACATTTTTATTGGCCTAGATGTCCAGGTAAATTAAAGGGTAAAAATAAAAAAAGACAGAAGAGAGATGAGATGATGGAGGCTTCAAAGAGAACTTGTAAACGTGCAGCACGAATAGGGAGGATATGATAACAGATTTAATTTCCCCGAGTGAGGCAGCAATCCACATGTGACCCTCCTTTCTTCAAAGTCGTATAAATTCAACGATTCAAAAGAGACGGGCAGAATTTTTTTATTTAATTTTTTATCTTGGGGGTGAGCTCCAGTTTTTAAAAGTCAAATATTTAACGTTTAAAGTAGCATGGGTCATTTTGTAGATTAAACTTAAGTAAGTGCTGTACTTTTTGTACTTTTTAAATTTAAGGTATTTGTACTTTACTTGAGTTCTTCTAATGCCACTTTACACTTTTACTCCACCACATTTCAAAGGGAAATATTATAAATTATCTGACTTCAGAAATTTTTTGCAAACAAAACATATGAAAATGTACAACTGAAATTACAAGTTAATTAATCAATTGGCGGAATATTATTGGCAAATATTTTCATAATTGTTTTGGTCATTTTTCATTCCTTTTCTTTTAATTATTTAAATAATTTATTTGTTAGTAATGTTGAGGTTTGGACTGTTGGTAGGACACAACAAGGGCTCTGGGTAACTGTAACAGCATTGCTCTCTATTTTCACAATTTTTACAAAGCAAACAATAAATCGATTAATGGAGAAAATAATCAGCACATTAACATATATTGAAAATAATCAAATAGTTCAAATGAGGACTACAGCAGTAAAATCTTGCTTCTACACGAATGCATGAGGAATAACAATCTAGTGATAGAACATATATTAGTACAACACTCACAAGGGGACATTTAACTGCATTGAGTACTTTTAGTTTTAATTGTTAAATATAAGACTTTTATATATAACAGCATTTTACAGTGTTGTATTACTTAAGTAAAGGATCTGAATACTTCCTCCAGCACTGCTGATTATTTCCAAGTGACTATTATGCTTTTCAATGGTGGACGGCCAGGTGTGGTCTCACCTGAGCCTAAAACATTTATGGGATTTTGGAGGTTTACACTTAATTATACATACTGCATATTGCACATATTGAGCTTTTAAGGCTAATTCTGATTTGTTTTCACTAAATAGCTGACACTCTTTAGGCAAAAATATATAGACGTGTATATATAAGTAAATATTTTATAAATAAAATTTATTTAAAGGTATTTAGTATTCTCTGCTAGAATTACATGCCTGGCAGTGTTGAGAAACAAACATAATGCCAGGACATAACATTTTCAGGAAGTGAAATTTGTGTGAATATCTACTGCTCCCTGAACAATTCAAAATTTCACTTTAGTGGAAATGTGAAAAAATCTTAATGTATAAGATGAGATGTCTTATAAAAGCCAATGATGTGTTCTTAATAATGTCAACATATCTGTAAAAAAAAATATAAATAAATAAATTAGAAATACATAACCTACAATATATCTGGCTTAAAAACTACTTAATTCTAAAAGATTATTTTCTGCATTTTAGATGTGTTTTTTAATATATTTCTATACTATCACATTGTTAAACTCTGTTCCTACATTATGCGAGTAGGTGTTTTTATAATTGACCCATACTTATGACCGAACACTTTATTTATGGCTCATTTGAAACACCGCCCCCGCCCCCCCGACCCCGTACTGTGACACAAATCGAACTTACTCACAGCCAATCACGACTGCAGGTGCGCAAAGCTTACAGCGAAGTGTTTTGAGGAGGAAAAGGGACGTTTTGGGCTAAAATGACACAGTTTTTGACTTCAAAGTTGCGGACGAAAGAGGAAAGAAAGAATAAAACTAGAGCGAAATGTTTCCCGAGCTCGAGGAATGTGATTGTTTCGTGGGAGGAGAGCGGGAAGATGAGCAAGCTAGCAAGCTAACCTAGCTAACGTTAGCGAGGAGGAGCTAACTGCTAACGGTAAGTTTAACGGTTTGGTGTTTAATTTAGAAAATATATTAAACATTATGCAGTTAGCTCCCGCTGTGGTGTCTCTATGGGTTATTTAATCGTTTGCAGTGGTGGAAGAAGTATTCAGAAGTAATACCACACTGTGAAATACTCTGTGTTACAAGTAAAGGTAACTTACTGCATTGAAAATATTACTTAAGTAAAAGTATCTAACGATATAATCAGGAAAATGTACTTTAAAGTGTGAAAAGTAAAAGTCACAAAGTAGAAAAATGTCCCCCGTGACTTTTATACTAGTATATATTATATAACATGAGATTAATATTCCTCACGCGTTCATATAAAAGCAGAGTTTTCTGCTGTAGTCCTCAAAACCTAAATCAACACTGATTTCAAAATATTAAAATAATTAAAAGGAAAAGCAGCAAATATTCACATTTGTAAAGCTGGAACCATTAATGTTTTTACATGAAAATAGTTGGCAATTATTTTTCTGTCAACCGACTAATCATTTCAGCTGTACTTGTGTAAACTGTTGGGTAGTTTCATCTATGTCAAAGCATCATATTTTATAAACTCTTCATATGTTTTCTGTCTAAAAAACTTTATTTGTTATGTAACTACTAAAGCTGTAAGATAAATTTAGTGAAGTAAAAAGTACAATATTTCCCTTCGAGATATGGTGCAGTTGACATAGAAAAAGGCCTGAAAAATACTTAGTTACTGTCCACCACTGATTGTTTGAGCTTGTGAGTTTTGCGCTGTCCTCTAAAGATGGTTCGGTTGTATTTATAATTGGTAGTAGGTCTGTAACTAATTTAACCATTATTTTCATTTTATATTTATTTGAGTCTATAAAATGTCAGAAGTAAAAAATGGCTGTTACATTGTCCCAGATGTCCAAATTTGTTTTGTTTCAGCAAGCAGCCCCAAACCACGAAATATTTAATTTGCAATATAAATCAGAGAAGGAAAAATAAAATTCACATTTATGAAGCTGGGGTTGGTAAATGTTTGGTAATTCTAATGGTTTAAAATAAAACAAGATAAGTCTTGTTCTAATCTAAACTGCACAAGGACAGAAATAAGTACATATTATATGAACACAGTGACAAATAAACAATGAAAGGTTTATAAAACTGAAAAAACAGACTATACTAAAGCAATTCAAGATAAAACAAAAAGTAAAAGTGGTAAAATTGTTACTTTTCTAACAGCTAGAAGATTAATGTATTAGGCAATCAAAAGTGAATTAATCAGCAACTATTTGGATAGTGGATTTATTGTTGGAAGTCATTTAAGAAATAATGTGTTTGGTTTCCTCAGTCTTATACGTAGACGGCTTATATTGATCTAGACAATAATCAGCAGCTCTAGTACAAAACAAGTAATGACATGTCTTTCCCGTCTTTGTTTGATTTAGAGGGGAGAGTTTGTGTCATTGTTCAGCCTTTGCTTCGTTTTTAAAACTGCTGCGCACAGAAAGGATGTTGAGGGTGATCCTACTTCAGCTCTCCTTTCGTAGCTTTTTGTATTTGATGTACACACTTATTTTACAGGTGTGAGTCGTGACCGTGGCGCTCTGTTGGTAGCCGGAGTATTCTCACCTCCGGGCGCTCTTAGTTTCCTCTCACAGTAACGTGATGTGGAGACTCTGAATAGTCCAGGGATGAGAATATGTTCGTGTTAGCACCGTATCGGCCTGCTGAAGTGTGGAGAGATTCTCTTAACCTTTTGCCCAATGCATGCTGGGATAGATTCAGAAAGAAATTTGACTCCAGTTGGAAGTTGCTCTCAACACAGAACAAGACAAGAAATAGACATTCAGCAAAAAAAAACACAGACTACAAAGATGAACAAAGTTTAGATAAATAGAACTTTTATGTACATAACCACAAGTAGGTAACAAAATAGGTGTATCTGTAAAAAGCAACAATTATCAACAACGCAGGCTTGGGTGGTATCAGTTTTTTCATTCCTTAAGAGCTTCCTGACATTTCTCTGGGGTATACGGTATTTGTGTAAAAAAATAAAAGCTGTAAAACTCCTTGTGTCTTAGTCTACATCCATATTACTACGTAGTACTACTAAAACGATCTCCGTCCACATCAGGGTTTTAGATGCGTATCAGAAGAGATTTCCGTCTATGTTAAAACGATTGAAAAAGCACAACAAGTGGCCGTTCACGTACACAGAGCATGCACATGTCAATGTGAACTTCTCCGTTTTAGGTGTTGAGATTCAGGCGAATGGAGAGAAAAAGGTGAGTTCAGCAGTAAATGTACAGTGGTTACACTTTGTTGGTGAGCAAAAGAAGTGGACATACCCACCATGACTTACTTAGTGGTTTGTGCACTTGAAAGCCTTGAGTTTTTCATTTTGGCCTTCGCCATCTTAACCATGTTTGGACAAGAGGGTGAAGCTGGGGAGAGACGTGTCAATCACAAGGTTGCCCCGCCCTAAAGCATCCCTTGCTTTCTGGGCCATTTTCCTCTAAATGGAACCATAATTTACTAAATGAACATCATGCTGTGTTGAAGAAGACTTGAAACCAACGATTGAGACCATAAACTCACGAGGAAAGTTTTTACTGAGGTAATAAATTAGCTGAGAAGTAGAAACATTTTCTCTTGGACTTCTGGACAATCACACTTCTTTTAGCAACCAGTGCCGTCACCCCCTGCTGGCTGTTAGAGAGAATGCAGGTTTAAGACACTGCTGCATTTCCTTCACTTTTCAGACCAGTGGCCTGTACTACAAAGGGAGTCCAACCTACTCAGACTTAACTCGGTGTTAAACTCTGACCGCTACACTGGAGTTAAACGGTAGTACGACGGTAGATAAGATGTTGGTTAGTTGAGTCAGAGTTAACTTAATTGGTTAGTGCGCGTTTGCATGAAAGGGGTGTGTTCGGCCGTGCAGGCAGAGTTTTTTTTTGCAACGGCGCATGCTCCTGCTGGAGCTGCTGCCCCGGCGACCCGACCCCGGATAAGCGGATGAAGATGGATGGCGTGCTCCGTATTTCTCCAGAAGAATGCACGTTGATTGTGTCAGGATATGATGAATGTAAAGACAAGTTAACGGCTAAATCTAATATCGTGGCGGCCGACAAAACCTGTGAGGCTTGTTGGTATCGCATTGAGTAAATTTGTAATTATCTTCACAGTGTAGTTCAAATCTGTATTATGTGGTTTATGGGCTCCTCTTTAATGTGTAATATGATTAAGATGTAAAGGTACAACTGCACAAAAGGTCCATTGCAATAGGAAAAAAAGGAGCCGGCGGAGAGGGGGAATAATCCGAGACAAAATTTAATTTCCAAGATTAATCTACAAGTAAAGCACTTGAATATTCTCTGACATAGTCACACATTTATGAGAGAAACTTCAATTTGCAAGGCTGCTACATCACACACACACGTCTGCCGTGTGTTATGCATGCAGTGGAAAGTTATTTTAGAATTTGCAGTCTGATTTAGCAATGAGGAAATACTTGTAAATTTAGCCCACTATAACTATCAGGCACCTTTAGAGACTTTGCCGTGGATTGGGTGTATTTAGAAGAAAACACCAGAGTGATTTTTGATATTTTTTTTTTTGTGTCTTTAATTTTAAGCAATTTCTGATTTTCGTTCTTGTAAATTTGACACTTTCATCTACAGTCCAGATTTTTTTTCTCAGTTTATTAACTCCCACCCTCGCTTCATATTTTTTGGACACGTAAAATAGTCACTCTAAATATGTGAAAACACTTTGGAGAATTCCATTATAGCCTACAGATGGGCTGCATCTAAGGTACTGTCCCATTAATTAAGATCTCCTCTCTAAAATCACAGAGGATGCAGGGCTCGCCATATAAACGTAAATAACTTAATTTCAGCTTCAGCCCCATTGGAACAAATCCGGATGAAGTCTAAACATATTTTATCAAGTGGTGTGTTATAATATCCTACTTCTCATCATTAACACCAAGTACAAATCCACGTATAGTATAGAGTAACATCGAGTTAAGCATAAACAAAACCTGCTCGGAGCAGTTTAGAAATGCAGCGTAAATTGCCATGGCAACAGACCTCGGGTAACACCAATCCACCTTTTGTAGTACGGGTTAATCGGGGAAGTTACGCCCGACGTCACGAAGTTACTCCTGAAGTTACCTGGATAAGCCAGTTACCTGGCTTCGTAGTACGGTAAACTGGAGGTGAATAAAGGCTGCAGCTAATAGTGTGTTTATCAGCTGCTGTAAAAGCAACGGGGGTATATCATGTCCTGTTGTAGATGATGTTAGGCAGTTTCATGCGGCGGCGCCCGTCCACGTTAAGGCCGTACAGTATAATACATCACCTCAATACAGCATCTCTGTGTCAGTTTAATAGTAAGTGGAGCATATGTGTTTGTGAAGGTATTGAAAGTCACACAAGGTGATTATTGTTGGTCTTTTGCTGGCAAACTGGGTTTTCTGGCATTATGGGGAGGGAAGCAGGACATACGGTACGCAGAGCAATCGGTTATCAGCATAACTCAGGATGAAGTCTAAACATATACCCCTATTTGTTTTTTTGCCCTTTTGAACCAAGTCTGAATCAAGTCTCAAATCTGTTGGACCAGGTCAAGTCCCAAGTCTTTTGGACAGAGTCAAGTCTTTTTGGACCAAATCTGAATCATAAAAAATAGATTTTGTTTAATAATTTAGTAGACAAATGAAAACGCATTAATAACAATCTTTAACAGGAAAAGGAGCCCTTTTAATAACTGACCGCAGTAACTATAAGTTACTGTAATGCCAGCAGCTGAACATGTGCATTAGGTTATGGGGATGTTGTGCATCCTGGGTATGTTATTGATATATATCCATATGTTATTTTCATAACAGAGAGGCAAAACTTCATTCTGTGGAGCATTTTTCAATATTTATTTATTTTTTTCCTTTTGTAACATTTCATCATAAACCTTAAGAGAAAAACTTAACAATCCTATCAAACATTTGCCATACAGATATATCAAAGCAAA